GATCTGAACGGCGAGCGCGCTGATCCGCCATCAATCCGCCGCCTCTCCCCGACCCTTTCGCCGCCCTCACAACAACCTTGAATATGAAGACGCGAATGATCAACCTGGTCAACGTCTGCGTTTCAACGTTGGGCAGCCTTGTGCGACGAGAGGACCGGGCTACTTGGCCGTGCGCAAGCAACCCGGGGCTTCCTGCCCTGCCCACCTGCATCAAAGTGTAAGGTAAATAACTGTACGAACATCTGGGTGTATAAATACTTACATCGTGACGCTGACTGGGGCCCCTGCCGGTGCGGGAGGGAACGAGGCTGCTTTGATTCGGTACGGGAGAGCGCACCGGACCAAGACGCCTAGTGCTGTGCGGGAATCAAAGAGAATGCGAAGTTTGCTGCCATATGCATCTCCGCCAGAGCGGGGAATGCGCAAAAGAGCTCAGACACGTTCTGCAGGGAGTCCGTCAGGAACGAGCTACAGACAATCAAAGATACGTTCGATGTCGATTGCGCCGTCCGGTAGGGTACACTGTACTCAAATAACAGCGGTGTGCTTTCGCTGTTTAGAGGCTTTCCCGGATCTATCACTGGCATGTACACTTACTGGTATGCATTTATAATTGATACAGACAACAGTCCGGTCGTTCAAGATGTGCAGATACTTCATGATGCTCCCAACTGTACTTTGCCAGGCCAACTGGCACCACCGTCTTTGTCCGCACCTTGCAATTTTCATTATCCGGAATGAGCTTACGGATGAATTTCGGCTTCCGTGTGAGTGGTAGCGATTGAGGCGAGAACGCGAGAATGCGCGGACAATGCGCTCGGAAGTGCCCAGCCGAGCTCTGAGACGCCACTCAATAGCATCTCAGGTGTGCACGCCAACCGCCAAGGGTTCGCCGTTCAGCTAATTCTGGATAGCCCGGATATCTGGCGGGCCGGTCAGGTCGCAATCGAAGACAGATGCAGGCGACATCGTCCTGCATGCAAATCCGCAACAGCCTGAATGTGACCCACATGCGCATGACAGGCAAATGTCGCGTCCGGTCGCGGCGTATATTTCTTTCTTATGATGATCGTGAGATTATTACACGTATGCTTTCCATGTACGCTTGGGTGGATGGATGGGTGGGTGGGGGACCATTCCAGTTGTGTTCTAGCCTGCGACGCGGCTGTCCGACAATCTCTTTTTTTTGCCCGTCATCATTTCTACAAAAACGCGGCGTGACACACCTGAGACCCCCTGCGTTGGCCTCGCCTCCTTTCCCTCCTTACTGCCACAACCCCCACAGAATGCCGCGACTGCTCTCAAATACCCCAACCTGCGCCATTGCTGACGCCGTCGTCACCAGTTGCTCACATATTGGTCATCACTCATCGAGCGCGCTGCAATAGACATCCGTCGTTCCCCTCCACCCTCCCTCTTTCCAACACACCCCTTGGCACTACATCGTCTGGCTGAGGCGACTAGCAACACCGGTGAAGCGACCCATGTCGCCCGTTGGACGTTTTGTGCCACAGACGGGCTCGCCGGCCCTCCGGCGCGTCCCTCTCGGTCCACGAACTTCCCAGGCGGCATCAGTCCGCGCCCGGATCCCCCCCCCCCCCC